GAAGAGCNTTCTTTTTGAATTTTTTCGTTGTCTCTTTTTTCTTTGACATTTAGTACCAGAACCACATCATCAAATAACTTCTCTTTCACAGCTTCTCTGTAAACCTCTTTGGCAAGTGTTGTCTTCCCAACGCCCCCTAATCCGTACACCCCAATCCTGTTGATATCAGGTTTTTTTTCAATTCCGTAATGATATCCTTCACCATTGAAATCCTTGATTCAAAGGCCATGTACTCGTCGGAGGCTATGGCAGATATGTCTTCTAAGGCAGCATTGTAAGAAATTGTGGGAAACTCTTTTTTATTTTCATGTTCTTCAATCTTTCTCACCAATTTAGTTGATTTTCTGCTGAGCTGATGATAGGATATCAGGTTAGGACATATATACAAACATTTTGTCTTTGCACGGCCTTCATCATCCAAATATTGCTTCTGCCTCTCGAGAGATCTCATCTGCTTCTGTCTGCCAGTTCCGGACATCAACTTCCACTTTTTCATTAACTTTTCTTTCGACTTCTTCAACTGCATGGTTCATCCTTTGTTTCACAGCATCAAAATTCTTCAATGTACTCCTTAGATCTTTAAGGTTGCTGTTGTAGAAAATGACATAACTCACTTGCCGTCCAAGTGGTCTAACTGTGTAGTCAATTATTGTAGGAATAATTGCAGTGAGTATCTCCATCGCCATGGCACCTTCAGCTTACCAATTCGTCTGCTTCTCCGATCTGTTGAATATATACGAATCCAAAATAAATAAATAAATTCAAGATACGAGAAAGGAATCCTTTATTTTCAAAGCAGATGAAATTAAAAAAAATAAAAAATCAAACAATAGGTCATACCTTAGCTTATGATCAAGGCTACGCTTGAAGAAAAACAGAGCAGTATGCAAATTTTTTGGTTTTCTTTTGCTTTTGGAGAAATCTGCATAGTAAAAGCAAAAAGAAGGTTATACCACACTTGCAAAGTAGAAGTCGAGACCATGAACAAGTTTTCACATACAATTATTATACTAAAAAAACTTGCTTGGTACGGAATTTAGGTAACTGTTTCCAAATCTTAAAAACTATGAAAAACATATATAATCTGCTTTGAATTTCACTGAGGCATTTGAACAAACACCAATTGAACAAAATGTAGAACGATTTGCTCGTTGAAGACCACTAATTGAAGTTTGTACCACAGAGCTACTGATCTAGATGGTACGATGGAGTTGACCCCCGATTCTCAGGAGCTGACCGAGTTAACTCTGCCAAGGCTCGACGAGTTCCAGAGGCTCATGACGAGCTCTAGTTTACGAAAGAAATCTGAGGCCATCAACTGCGAAATCCAGGCAGTCATGAGCTCGGGCAACGCGAGGTTAGGAACAGAGACAACCTCGCTCTGAAAGGTCGAGCAGAGCTAGGAGGTTGCCGAGTGCCTGATTTTGTTCATCTTGAAGAGAATTCAATTTTTTTTATTTATTTACAAGCAGCGGCGTAACCAGGAATTTCAAATAATCATGTCATAATATCAACAAAAAAGCTTCATTGGGTCATTTCGTCGAACACCTAGTAGGCACCTGTGAATTCCTGCCAACATATGCTGAAATTTTATGTCAACATATATCGACGACTACTATTACTTGTACAAGCTTGTCGATGGTGGATGTAGGGTACTGTGGAGTAATGTTGAAGATTTTCAAGGCTTTTCAACTAAAACATTTCATTTAAGAAGAGAGAAAATGAAAACAAATATGATAGAAGAAAATAGAAGAAGTAGGACGAGAAGGTCGTAATTTAATTTGCCTTAGTTGTTTGTTAGAGTCAAATACAATATAGAAGCAAATATACATAGGGTTTTTAAAGTTATTAGGGTCAAAGACAACCAATAACTCCATGCTGGCTCCATCACTGTTTTACAATGGCAGCCATGGTGATTGGTCCTAGACAAAGGGAGATGGAGGAAAACGGGTGAAAAAGTTGCAGGGAGGAAGAAAGGAGGTGTTTGGTTGTGTGTTTAAAAGTTCCTAAGGCTTATGAAGGAAATTTCACCTAGGAGAAAAATCACGAAGGAGGTTGAAATTATTTGGGGGAAATTTGGGCTTCTATATTGCCGTGAATTCCATGACTGAGAAGTCCTACGATGAAGACGAAGTGCTACCATGGCTTCCACAATAAAGAATAGGAGGATTTTGAGGTGGGGTCGTCGACAAAGAAATGTTGGAGGAGAAGTGGGTGGCACCGATGGAGGAGACGAGGTTACCGGAAGCATTGAAGAGGAGAAATTTTTGGGGTGACGGGAACACACACACACCTCAGAAAGGCAGGTGGTGCTCCTAACCTATTAAATTTTGACAGCTAGCTTTTGGCATCCTTTTGTTTTTTTACTTTTTAGCTTCTCCAAGTAATGCTATTCATATTATGTTTTTATACCACATTTTTATACCATCTTAGGTGGCATTGGACAGCTACACATCATTTGAAAAATTTGCAAACCTCAAGGAAAGGAAGAAGAAAGACTCATCGTATACCACAATCATCATTTAATTAACTAGTTTTTCTTAATTATTAGTTTATTAAATAATGAACTAATTTAAAAATCTGATTAATTCAAATGATGTGGCTGTCCACATCAAATGCCACCTAAAATGGTATGAAAAATGTGATACAAAAATATGGTATGAATATCATTACTCATGATTAAGTGAGCAAATGACAAAATCCAGCTGTCAAAATTTAATAGGTTAGGAACACCACCTGCTTTGCTGAGGTGTGTGTTCTCGTCACTCCCAAAAATTTCTCGTTGGAGAGGACAAGGTTTCACGTTTATAAATTAAAATTGTAACAAATGTTTTGTTCTCATTGGGCCACTTCATGTGGTTAATAATTTGGGTACTGTCTATTCAGTACCCAAGTATTATCCTAGAATGAGGGCAGCGGATAATTGAAGAAGGGAACATTGCGATAATTAGGAGTGGAAAATTTTGCCATAAACCGATTTACCGACCGAACCATACCAGTCGGCTCATAATGGTATGGTATAGTTTTGGCATTTTTTCATAATCGGTTGGCATTTTACCGAACCGACAATTAATGGCATGGCTTTGGTAATTGATTTTGTATGCCGACGGTATACCATACCTACCAATATATATATATATATATATATATATATATATATATATATATTTTTTTTTTTTTTTTCTATTTAGATATTTTAGGTATTTTTTACATGCTTGACTGTTGACTCCTTAGTTTTAGGGTTTAAAAATATATATGTATATGTATATGATTCATGCCATAATAAATATAGAAAATATTGTTAACAAAATTGATAGCATGATGATTACTGATACTATATATACAGGTACATATATATGATTTTGAATGTATATGTGTTGCTTATGTTTAGGATAATGGAGTCTAGCCAATCAACCGTTACAACATGGATTAGCCAAAAATGAACCACACAATGCAACCGAACAAGCAACCCAATCTGAAAATCAAAATGAACCCCTAGAACTGGAAGATAGCGAGGAAGAAGTGGAAACCACTGATTGTGCCATTTACCAACCGAACAACCAATAATTTTGGCTGAACCGATTTTTGGCAACCGCAAGAAGACGGTTGGTTAGCAGTAATTGATTTTTCAGTAATTATGTATATGTGGTTGGTAGGTGGCACAAGAAATTTGGCACGATTTGCCAACCGAACCCAGCCCTAGCGATAATCAGCCTCAAGTAGACAAAAGGTACAAGAGAAGCCATTGTCAAATGAAAAAATTAATCAAGATGTGTTTAATGTATAAAGTGGCAGGTAGATAATTGAAGAGTTTTTATGTTTTTCTCTTCTAATGTTGTCAATAAATGAAATTTAAGCCATTGTCGGTTAGGGAGAAGAAAATGGAAACATAACAAGGAAAAGAAGAAGACAACTGATCATCATTCAAGAGACGACAAGTTCGACGAATAGAGGTGCGGAAGAGCAACAAAGGCTCAAGTTTTCTCAACTTGGTTTTCTTCATTTTATTATGCATTTAGTGACAACTTCAATTATGTTTTGAAATTAATTTCTTTTCCCTAGAGCTACGAGGTAACCTAATCATGATTGCTTCATTCCTTAGTATCGTTATTTATGAATTTCAATCTGATTGAGTTTATTTTGTTGTGGATTATACGCTTGATTTTTATCTTGTTGATTAGCTACAAACTTGGTTTGTCAAGTTCATCTAATGCAAATTTAAGTATGTGGAAATTCAAAGCTTCTTGCAGTTAAAGTTATGAAAGCCTTGATATACAGGTTATGACTATGTTTCATGCAGTCTCTTAGTTAGTGTCCAAATTGATAATAATTTTTTTTTTTTTTTTTTTTTTTGTGTTTTAGTAATCTACATGTCATTGAATCTTAGTACATAAGAGTATACCTAGTAATCTAGATGTCATGAACACTATATGATTTAGAGGAATTAGATCGTCGACAATTATTCATTAATAATTTATTGCTAGAAATGGAAAATTTGGAAAAATAACCAAAATTTGAATCCTATATAGAACTATAGCCATCCTTTTAAGTTTATGATAATTATAACCAAAAGTTGATATGAAAATACTAATATATCCTTAAAATAGGAAAATAGGAATTGAGAGGTAAGGAGAGTTTGAAAAACAAATCTAAAAAACCCAAATCAAATCTGAGATTATCCCAATGTCTTACCGGGTTTTTTTTTTTTTTTTTTTTTTTTGTTCCAAAAAAAATTAAAAAATGTGAACCCAAGGATTTTCTCGGTTTGATTTGTGTGTGACAAGAAAAATTTATTTATTATTCATCATTTTATTGTGAAATTGTTGTAGGGTTTTCATTGTCATTCAAAAATGGTCTGGAAAGTTGTTGAATACAGTCCCGAAGAAAATGGTCTGGGAAGCTATGAACACTCATGGCTGAGACAACTTGGAGAACATGTCAGTTTTATATATTTATTGCCCCACACCACACCCATTGATTCATTTACATTTAGCAATTTTCTTACAAGTTTGGGGCATCTAGCTAGTATGAAAAAGAAGATCATTATCTACCAGCTGCTTCGTCGATTGCAAATTTTGTATCATTTTTCATTTGGCATTTCTCTTCTGCATTATATGATTTCGATATGTTTTCTGTCTCTAAACTTGTAGTAGAAAGGGGATTTAATTGTTCAATTTTTTTATTTTTTATTTTGATACAAAATTATAAAGGTGTACATAAGGGTATATTAGTACTTTTATATCAATTTTGGGCTATAATTATCATAAATCTAAAAAAGTGGCTACAATTCTACATAGAGTCTTAAATTTGGTTATTTTTCCAAATTTCCTGCTAGAAATAGGTTGGACTGGTTGTCACATCCCGGCCAGGGCCCCCACCACATATCCTATTACGGCGGAGTCGAGCTCAAGATGTGGTGGGGGCCGGATTGTGACATCCCATATTGTCCAGGAGAATGGATCATGTAAGCCTTATATGTATATTCTCATCTCTACCTAGCACAAGACATTTTGGGAGCTTACTAGCTTCGAGTTCCATCAAAACTCCTGAAGTTAAGCGAGTTCGTGCGAGAGCAATCCCATGGTCAGGATGTGACACTGGTTATGGTGGAGTCAAACCCGGGATGTGGTGAGGGCCCGGGCCGGGATGTGACATTGGTTATAATGAAATCGAATGCTCTAGTAACTCACTCATCTCGTTCACAATTTGTTTCTATTTGCATCTCTATTCCTTTAGTCTTATTTGTCTTGTTATTTTTCAGTGTTTTTAAATCAAGAACTCAATCCTTGCAATTCTTTCTTATAATCAATATTTTGAATTCAAGTGCTATTCAACTTAAGCTAGGCAATTAGAATTGACTCGATCTCAGTTGGAACGAGGTTGTGTTTGCCTATTATATTATACTACAATTCGTACATTTGC